AAAAAAGAACAGCACTTTTAGAACAGCACTTTGAAAAAAGAACAGCACCCTCATTGCACAGCCTCACTATCAGAGCATCGCGACAGAGCTGATAGAGTAGAGGTGCAACCGATCGAACGATCCAAGAGGAGTTTCGGCCGATAGTAGAGGTGCAACCGATCGAACGATCCAAGAGGAGTATCTGCCGATAGTAGAGGTGCAACCGATCGAACGAACGATCGAAGAGGAGTATCGGCTGATAGTAGAGGTGCGATCGAACGATCGAACGATCGAAGATCGAAGAGGAGTATCAGCCGCACCTCTATCGCACTTTATCAAGCCGACAGTCTTCGGTTGAGAATAGAAAGCCATCCCTCATTGCAGAGTATGGAGTGTGGGATGGCTTTCATTTCTCGGCCTTTGACTGTCAATTGATCGAGTTGGAGAACAATGGTGTGTTTTGAGTCTTGTTAACTCCGAAAAGGGGTCTTGTTAACTCCAAAAAGTAATCACTTGGGTTAAGTCTTTGATTTTGAGTCCTTTAAATCCACCATGCTGATAGAATATTGGTAGCCCACCAAGTGATCACTTTGGTTAAATCTTTTTTGAGTCCTTTAAGTCCAGTATTGTTCCCATGAATTGTTTAGTCAATTTGTTTAGTCGCCATGGTAGACTCCATGTTTTGACTAAAAACTGGACTAAATTGTTTAGTCCGAGATTTAGTCATCTGCTGGTAGACACCACCATTACTAAAGGATAATGACTAAATCTTGAACTAAACAACCACCTAAAGGATTCCTTTAGTCGCTACTTTAGTCGCTCCGGTAGAGACCGGCCTAATAGCTAGCTACATGCACCTTTGAGGGGCGCTACCTAGCTACCGTTCTATGCACACGTAGAGAAGTCGAGTTGCGTACCATCTCTCCCCTCCGGTCTCCCTTGTCGTCGTGTGACTGCTACTAGACTACTGTACTGAGTACTGTAGTAGACTGCACCTAGTCGCTTGGGGGTTGTTAGACCAAGAGGCAGACTGGCTTTTTGAGGTTAACCCTTTTCATGCCAGTTGGGAAAGTGAATAACCCTTTGAATGCCAAGACATCGAGGTGCGAATCGAGAAAGGCGCCACGATATCAGCTGATGGAACAATTTCCCTTTTAAAATTTGTGCAAACGGAGGCCGACGTGCAGTACATGTACCATGTAGACATGGGATGACACAAAAGAATAAGCTAAAAATTAAAAGGGGATTCTACGTCTACCTCGTTCTAGCGAGTCCCGGAAGGTTCACCTCGTGATTGCCAACCACTAGCTGGTTTTGGCTCCTCTCGCACTCCCTCTTGAACCGAACGGGGTAGCAAATTTTGTACCGTAGTCCTCTTTGCTGCACAACGATGTCAAACTCTAAACAAACACAAACATGCAATGTAGTGGTAGTGGCAGTGGCTCCATCTCTTGTATTTTCGTAGATCAACCTCGTCCTCATTTAAGCCTCTTCCTCGTACTCGACTTGCTCCTCATCTTCGTCCTCGTTCTTGTCACTGTCGTCAGCTTCAATGAATGGCTTCTCAGGGTCGTTCCATTCATAGTCACTCTCAGAAGCGGTGTAGCACTTGACGTGCTCCTGCTGGGAGAGCACCTCGCACTGTTCTTCAATGGTGAGACTCCAAAGTTGAACTCCCATGCGCATGAAATGCTGGAGACCAGTTCGACGTTTCGTGACAGAAGGGATACGAGTCTTGTACACTGTATCTTTCATGAAATCCACTAGCTTGGAGATGACCTTGGAGCGCCCTCCAATTTTGGTCTCAATGTCGAGTTCACTCAGACCACGATCTTCGACCTGGTGGGTTTCAAGGAAGTCGGTGAACCAACGTTTCCCGACCATTTCGACTGTGAGGTTGCGACTGCTGTCTTGAGTTGGACGGCATCGAACTAGAACAGACTTGTCGGCGTCGAGCTTCGAGCTGTCATTCCCGGCAAGCTTGCTTTCTTGTTTGACCGCAACGGCAACTCCAGTTTTTTTGAGGACCTTGTTGGTTGGCTTGGAAGTGACGGCGATGACTTCCACGACGCTGGTATCGGAGACCGAGTCGTCGTTGTTGGGTGCTGCTGGAGTATCGGCGACTGCAGCAGCTGGTTCAGCGACCTGTGCGAACTGACCAGGCTTGTTGGTTAGCAGGGAAAGGAACCTGCAGATGGCGGGGTCATTTAGCAACGTTCCCATATCAACCTTGTTATCAAGGTCAGACTTAGCAACAGGGGTAACCACAGTTGGCTTCTACGCGGGAGCTGGCTTCTTCGCTGGAGCTGGCTTCTTGGGAGGAGCTCGCTTCTTCGGAGGAGCTTCAGCAGCAGCTGGAACTTGCTTAGGAGTAGCCACAAGCACCTTGCGACGGCCCTTCTCGATGAGATTTCGGGACGTCTTTCCTCGTGCTTGCTCATTGTTTTGCACCAGAAAACAAGCAAAGTAAGTTGCGACGATGGCAGAAAAGTAAGCATACTAATTATTGACGACTGGTCTAACATCGGTGAAACTGCGGGGTGGACTACTAACAAGCTGTTTTGTCCTATCGTGCATTTTGTTGCTGCTGATCAAAGAATAGTGATTTTGAAGAATACAAGTAGAGCTAGTACAAGCGACGAGAGTAAGCTTCTGAGTTAACTGAACTGATTACTATTTGATGGCCTGAACTCACCATGTGACAAATCTCTTTCTCATTATTAGCAGGTGCTGCTAGCAGTAACTCCTCGGAATCCACACCCATTGACAGAGACGGGGGCAAGAATCCAAACAAGTCACGTGCTATTCCAACTGTTGAGCAACAAGGAAAGAGTCTACAAGGCTTCAATAACATCGAGTCGGGATGAGCATGCTAACTGGATTGATGAGATCTGGATAATACCAAAGAAAGTCTCCATTGCTCTATACTAGCTTGGTAGAGCAAGGTGATGGCATGTACAAGATTTGTGATTCATGGTGGCACGGCGAGTAGGCAGGAAATATCTAACACAGTTAAGTCTGAGTTTGTTGGTAAGCATACTGTTTATTGACTGGCTTAATATCAGTAAAAATATGGGGAGGGCAGGCTACTTCTAACAAGACCTGTTTTCGCATATCGTGCCTTTCTTGTTGTTGTCGAACAGTGATTTTGAAGAATACAAGTAGAGCTACAAGCAAGCAACGAGAGTAAGCTAAGGAGAAAATTGAATTTGTTATTTGATGGCCTGAACTCACCATGCGATAAATCTCTTTCCTAGCAGGTGCTGCTAGCAGTATCTCCTCGGAATCCACATCCAGTGACAGAGATGGGGTCATTGGAGGGACAGGAATCCAAACAAATCATGTGCTCTTCAAACTGTTGAGCAACAAGGAGTGATTCATTGCCGAGCAGGAAAAAGGGAGGTTGTCCTGCCATTCTATCCATATTTACAACCATGGATGGTGATAGAGAGAATCAAGTTGGTGCTGGTTTTTCTGAGTGTGCCGTTGCCATGGATTTGGTGAAGCAACACTGCGAAGTTTAGCTAGAAAAGTGGTTCGTTTGGTACAACAACTAATCGTTAGAAAAAATGTGTTAAAATGTGATTTATTAGCTATTAGATAGACCCTTGTATTTTCTTGTCTACCATTGGCGAATCCGCATTGCTATTCTGCATTCATCACTATCATTCCAAAATAGGTAGCCTCAAAACTTAATAGGCCCAAAGATTAGGGATGAAGTCTAACCATTGTGGGTCTATTACAATTAACGTCAGTTAGGATACTTTCATTCGGTAATCATGTGGCAATATTCACTAATCATGTGAAAAGATTTGGAAACAGGGGGACCAATTAGCAATGGTCTCGCTGTCTCTCTGATGGTACCATTGAATTGTTGATGGTAGCATTGATTTGTTGTTAGTTCCAAAGAACCCTTGATCGTGCCATTTAATCCTTGATGGTTCTGAAGAATTCTTGATGGTACTATTGATTTGGGATTCAAGAATTAAGATTTAAGAACAGAAACCCCGGTGCACTACGCTAAAAGCTAGTGTAAAGATCTTTCGAGTGTTTGAGTTTGAGAGAATGAAAGTTATGAGAGAGATTAGAAAGCTATGAAAACTAATCAACGAGAGAGATCATCATCAAGGGATCGTAGATCTGGTCTCCCACGGGAGACTATAAAGTGTGATAGAGTAGGTTACGGTAGTAATCCTACGTATCTCCACGATCCTAAAACGAACGCGTGGAAGATTCGTCTAGCATGGATATAGTAGTGTGCACTACGCTAAAAGCTAGTGTAAAGATCTTTCGAGTGTTTTGAGTTTGAGAGAATGAAAGTTATGAGAGAGATTAGAAAGCTATGAAAACTAATCAACGAGAGAGATCATCATCAAGGGATCGTAGATCTGGCTTCCCGCGGGAGACTATAAAGTGTGATAGAGTAGGTTGCGGTAGTAATCCTACGTCTCTCACGATCCTAAAACGGAAACGTGTGGAAGGTTTGTCTAGCTGGATCTAGTAGCGTGGAAGTACTCCACGCTGGCTAAATATCTAGAGCGATGTTTCATCATCAACTAGTATGACTAAGCGCGGTCATTGAGAACCCTGTCTCAAATGACTATTCACGAGAGACTCAGTCATGAGTCGAACTCAAACCCTATCTAGGATCGAGTCGCGAATAAGGCTAAGAGCCGTGTATTGCATTCGCCCCCTGACAAGGGTCACAGAAGGCGCGAAAGCAGTCGACAAGGAAAACATATGATTAAAGTGCGGGGCACTCTCATGAGATTTGGATGTAGACATGTGCGTCGCACGATGGCAATCCTACAAGGGGATCAGGCCTTGTATGGGTGTATATACCTTATGTTCCAAGTCTGGTAGACGTGCCGCCGTTGGCGGTAGAATGTGGAGCCGTACAGTCATTGTCATTGACTCGGTCTATAGTGTAAGGACCTTTGTACTTTGGCTGACCGTACTTGCGGTGCTGATACTGTTGAATCATCACGGTTTCGTTGACATTGTATTGATGAGGGACACGCGTCGCGTTTTCCCTTCTTGTTTTTTGGATAGTCGTTGGCGACGTTCCTTATGACTTCCAGTTGGCTTCGAACGGACGTTGTGAATCGCGTCACGATGAACACGAGCTGTGCGGGCGTTGCCGCAAGTGGTATGAATCGTGGCATTCATTGCAAAGCGAACCGCAAGGACTCCATCCCAGGATCCATTCACGAGGTCGTCTTGGCATTGATGTTTTGACAGCGATCAAGTTACGTATGGTTTGATGAGCACGCTCGACCATAGAGTTGGCTTGAGGGTTACGCGTAGGATGAACTTGCGAGAAGTCCATATTCATCCCGGAGTGTCTTTTCGACCTCTGCGCGGAACTCACGTCCTCTATCCATGATAACCAGCAGGCCATGGTTACCGAGTAAGCCACGTTTGTTCTAGGACGATGGCTACTTCGTCTGCTGCCTTGGAGCAGATCTCTGCAATCTCGAACCATCCGTTACGGGATCAATCTTGTCAGGCAATGAAGTGTGCAGGATTCTTTTTCTTAGGATCCCCGACGTTGTAAGGGCCTATCAGGTCAATAAATAGTCTTTCCCAAGGGATCTCCTCGCATATCTTTGGAGGCATCAACCCCAGCTTACGCGTCTTGGGTTTGTTCATCTGGCAGCTTTGGCAACGCTGACATACGGCTGCAGTCTTGCGCAGTCCTTTCCAGGTGTAGTGTTGGGATGGTTAGTTCTGTGCGAGTCTCGCCAGGATGCATCAGCACACCATGGTACATTCAACTAGCTTCTTCTGCATAGTTTTAGGTACGACGATTTTTCGTCTTAACTACTAAGTCGTAGACTTATCCCTCTGGGGAAAGATTGCTTCTGTAGTCGTTTGGCTTGTCCCTGAGGAGTTCTGTATATCGTTGTCGTCTTCTGACGATGTTCGATCTCGGGAACGAGAGAGGAACTCGCTAGGGAAGTCCTCTTCGTCTGCAGCCATGAGCTCAGGATCTCGCTGGCTCCATCTGTTCTGAAGAACCGTCGTTGTTGGAGATGTTAAGTCTCGACAACGCATCAGCGACGATGTTTTGTTGCCCTTGATGTACCGTAGTTCAGGCCGTATTCTTCCAGAAAAGGCGCCATGCATTACGCGATCGTATTGAAGTTCTTACATGTAAGATTCTTGTGGTCGTATGTACAACGATCTTCTGTCCTAGAAGATGTTACGGAACTCTTTTGAGTTTCTACGATACTGAGAAGTTCCTTCTCGGTAACTGTGTAACGTGTCTAGCAGGGTTGAGCTTCCTACTGTAGAACGCGATAGGTTTTCCCTTCTGGAAATTACTGCACCTAGTTGAGTATCACTCGCATCCTGTGGATAACGAATGTATCGTTGAAAGCAGGGT